CCAATGTTATCAGCCCAGCTTGACTAATGTTCTCTTGTAAGAACAGAGGTGACAAAATTCCTTTGTGAGCTTCAACAATACAAACAGGCACTTCAAAAGGGGATGAGGCTGCTTTACAGCTGTCACATCTCTTCTCGTGAAGGCTGCCCTCTTTAGAAATCTCTCAGATAAGCCATCATCCTCATCGAATGCAGGTGACACGCATTCCCCTTCGGGTGTTGATGTTAGGATGTTTCAGCATGGGAACAAAAACACATTTTTTTTTCTGTAAAAGATGATTTTTCTCTTCTCGTGATTCGAACGTTTATCCAAAAGTGGCAAAAAGTGACTGCCATTGTGTGATACGCAACACGTTAAATCTTTATTTAGAATTTAGTGGGTGAGGTGTTGGGTGAGGTGTGAGTGCTGTCAGGGTTTATTTATTTAGAAAACAGAAGTGAGAGCCATTATCACCTCCAGGGCATATGAATACATTACTTAATATACATTTTAATAGCCTGTGATATCAAGACGAGACTTATGATGTGTGTCTTAGATTCATTCATTGGCTGTCAGGCCCTGTAGCAGTACACCACAAATGTTTCTAATATCCATACATATAAAATAGTTTAACGTCTGTTCTACATCCGGACGCGCTGCTATGTTAAATGCGTGAATCCAAGGGAGTGATCTGAATCCAGAGAGAAGAACACCCAGACATCAAAAGACCGGCTTCAAAGTCAGTTACATAATGAAGCGCCCACACACTTCACTCTTCTCTGTAGCTCAATTTTGGTCTGTCACCTCTGCTGTGTACGGCCTACAAAGGACAGCTTTGAGAATCATTCTTTAAAGCGACAAGCTTTGCCCCAGAACATTTCAGGTTCATATTCTGATTTGCTAAGTTTCTAAGATTTAAATCTACCTTTAAATATATTTCAAGACAGATCAAAGATCAAATTGAGCGTATCACAATAAGGAGTGATAATCCCGAGTTACAGCTGAGCATTTGTGATTCTTGTGTTGGAATAAAGATCAAACAGATGCAGAATGAGGAAAACAGAAACTGGCTGTAACCAAAGTGTGACTTCTGTGGGAGTATTTGCATTGTGTCATGAGAGTGTGGGCCTTTGCGCCGCTCCGCTGCATATATGTCGCTCTGGTCTCCTCACAACAACGTGGCTTTATTGAGATGCATGCAGCGGTCTCGACTGAATGCCAGGGTGAAACTAAGGACAAAAACTAAAAAGAGGACACTGATTGCAATTAGGTCCATTGTCTTCCATTTATATGGTTATTGGGTGGCGGCACTTGCGGTCTGGTCGCGTCAAAGTTCTCACAGTCAGGATGCCATCTCACTCAGTGCAGCTTCTGCAGCCTCCTCTGGCAACTATCTGCTAACAATGTTCATCTCACTTGTGTGACAAAGCAGCAAGGAGGGTCTGACCGAAGGGGCTATTTCCTTAAACGAAAGCACACTGTTGCTGCAGGGCCCGAGTTTCTGTTCATCCTGTGATGTGTTTCATGTTCTCTACTCATTCACCCATTGAGCTGGTGTGAAAAATGTCAAAGGTTGCATTGTGGAATGAGCTGCCGACACCCTCCAGGCCGTTAGATAACTCCTGAACCTGGCTGGCTCCCAGGTTCATACACAACAGAGTTTTCAACGTGTCTTTATTCATTTTCAGTCATGGGGAGGGGTTTAGAAGCTGCAGCACTCTAATGAGTGTCTGAGTGCACCCGCGTAATGAGTTAAACTGGGACAGAAAGCCTAAAATATAGCTCGATGTGGAGGTGAGCACACTAGTGAATTCACATGAATGACAACGGAAGGGTATCGCTTTTTTGTGGTGCTTCCACTCTGGAGGGGGTGTGTATCAATCTTTCTGTGTGATAATAGGGTTAGATAGCACTGAGACCTGGCCTCTGGTGGTGACATTGTTGCCGGGCTCAAAGACTATCAGGGGTCCAGCAGCTGAGCTGGAACACTGGTGGGCTCTATTCACACCCAACTCCTAATCTATCTTGAGATAAGGTCTTTCTCCTCAACAAAGCTCCATCTTATTCTAAACTCTCATTACTAAGATTTTTTTTTTTGCCATTATTGTTTCTCAAAAAGCACAGCTGGCCTCTGCAGTTTCTCAAAGGAATCAAATTATGAGTCCAGCCTTATTTTTTCTTCTTTTGTCCCACGACAAATCCAAAGCCTGTGGTTGGGCATTAGGATCTGAATCTATTGGTGTTTATGACTAACTCGACATACCAAGGATGTGACTGTGATTAGGTTTTTAATTTTCTGCTTAAAAGATAAATCTATCTATCTATCTATCTATCTATCTATCTATCTATCTATCTATCTATCTATCTATCTATCTATCTATCTATCTATCTATCTATCTATCTATC